GAACAAACGAGGAAGAGGTGCTTCAAACATTGTGTTTTTTCTAGGCTCTTCAGGCCTAGATGACGCACAGCCACGTTGAAAACTTTGATTTTATTTTAGTTGAATGTAAATAGTGTCTTGGCAACATGGCTGCTCTGAGAGAGAGTAAGGAGGGAGATAAAAAAGGGTGACCACATATAAGAAAATCCATGGGAGAAAAGTATGCCTTTATCTTTTAATAAACCGTAAAGCCAGGAGGCAACATGAAATTACAGCATAATAGCAGTGGAGAGTCTTCTGAAGACTTAATTGCCTTAATTATAGCAGTGCAAAAAGGAAAAGCAGAGGAGGAGGAGAGAAAGGAGGGAAGCAGAGAAGACGGTAGGACGGAAAACAGGGAGTGATGTGACAGAGGAACCAGCGCCTGAGTCACGTGTTGCAGGTGTAATCCAGGTGTGTGTCGTCTTGCACGTGAGCACATAACTTTCGGTTTTACAGGCCTATTTATACATCTTTTTGCACATATTTGTAACTGTAGGTATGTTAATATGAGAATCTTCAGTCCGTGTGAATGATGCAGGAAAATTCTCTTTCCACACAAGTGAAAATTTCTCCCCCTCAGATCTTACAAGCTGGCAGGCTCACTTAGGGATGCTAAACATAGTTTTCATTTTCCTCCGTGTCTAGACTGGGCTCTCAGTACTTTCTGCTGCGGTTTTTGTTCACTCAGGGAAGATTGTAGCCTGATTCTCAAGCCTCCGAGCCAGTGGGAAGTTTATTTAGCCAGCAGTGTTGTGAAGTACCTGTGAAAATCCCCCAGCACACAATTCAGGTTGAGAGTTGAGCCTGGATGGCCAGTCATGGACCAGAGGTCATATTTCAGCTCTGAGAAAAATGTTGTCCATGCACCTTGCAAAGTTTCAAGTTCATGTTTACCTGTTTTCTTCCTATTTATTTCTGATGGTAGAAGAAAAACTCGGATCCATTACACTGCGAATATTGTAATTAAAAGTGTTGGGTTTAAAAACCTTATCAGTAAAATGCTCTCTGTGACTGATGTATATTAGATTGTTACTGATACATCAATTCACATACTTTACTGTTGTATCTGGTTGAGTTTAGTCCAGTGGTCCCCAACCTAGGGTTTGAGCCCCTTCAAAGGCCCACAAGATAAATCTGAGAGGTCTTTGATTAAAGGGAGAGAAAAGAAGAAAAAACAAAGGACTACACTTTTTTTACCTTTCTAAAATATTTGCTTTTTAAAGAAATATTATTTGATTATAAAAAATTTTTTTGCCTTTAAAGGGCTATGAAGCCATCTTAGGAGTCACTCACATACACACCGTTCACAAAGCTGACAGTGACATTGTGAATGAGACCTGGCTTTGCAGCACTGCGCTCCCACTGAGCTCGACAGAGTCAAAAAGCTCCCAGCTTCACTTCAGGGGAAAGAACTTTGTGATACAGTGACAGCCAGATCATGTCAGTTCCTGAGGAAATGGAAGCAGTTGTTTACTGCTACACTCCACTATGTGAAGGAACTAGTTTAAACAAAACGGAGGTAAAGCAGATCTTCGTGCTCTGGCTAGTTCTCTACTACGATTGTCGTAGATTGTCATGGAGAAACAAATTGCCGGTGTTATGTGTCGGCATGGATGGACTGTGAGATGAGGAGCCCCAGGGCATGTACAGGTTCAAGGCCCCACCCCCCACCCCTCCAACACAGGACCTCCCGATCAGCGTGGCCATGTCATTTGTAGTCATATGTGTGTTGTCTTTATGGTTTAGGCTTTTTGTAGTCTTTGCATCTCATTGTGGTCATCTTTTACCCCTGTGAAGTAATTTAATATCTCAGTGTGGTCATTTTTATGTCTTTATTGTCGTTTTGCATCATTTTGTTTTTGTTTTGTGTCTTTTATCTGAGCTCTGTTACTTTCAAACTACAGATGACACTTCATACACAGGCCCCTAGGCCTGTGCTTGGTAGGCCCATCCCTGTAATCCATCCACATCTGGTGATGGCGGATATGTCAGAAAACAACATGTTTCTTCTCTATTCAAGACTGTACCTTTATTTGTATTGTATATTGCGACTTAACTGTTTTTCACCCTGATTGCTAAAAAAGGAGCAGCGGTTGAATTTTCTTAACGTCTAACGAGTTTGACTTCTCCCAGCATTTGTCCTTGAAATATGGAATTATTGGATTGTTAAAATTATAGCATCTGCTTGACTTGATCTCATCTTTAATCCTAAAACAAAGATCAAAATGTTGCCTTGGGTCGACTTCACCCCGATAAGCTTAATGAACAGACCTCCTTGAAATTCCAGTTCAGTCTCAGTTGGACCTGTATGAATGAAAGCTTATGGTTCCAGCGTGTTTTTGATCTTTTTGTATTAGAGGACTGAATGCC